AGGGTGGTCAAGAGAAGAACGAGGCACCAGATGGCCCACTGGGGGCCCAGCTCTGTGTTCTGTTTACTTTATCCCTTAGGTAGCTCCCAACGATGTCCACTCCTTGCCACCTCCTCTACACCCACCCTATGCCATTCACACCAGGTTGAATAGGAATCCCCAAATTCTTGCCCACCTGGAACCTGTGAATGTGACCTTATTTGGAAATAGGTCCTTACAGACATCATCAAGCTGAGATTACAGTGTGTTAGGGTGGGTCCTAATCTAACGACAATTGTCCTTACAGAAAGTGGGAGATTTGGGCACAGTGGGAGGAGAATGTCACGTGGTGGCAGAGGCAGAGACTGGGATGATTTATCTATAAGCAAAGGAGGGCCAAGGATTGCCAACTACTACTAGAAGCTGGCAGAGGCAAGGGGGATTCTCTCCTAGAGTCTTCAGAGAACATGACCTGCTGACACCTGATCTTGCACTTCTGGCCTCCAGAACTGTGACAGAATACACTTCTGCTGTTTCAAGCCACTCAGTTTGTGGGATTTGGTACAGCAGCCCTAGGAAATGAATTCACACGCCATCATCGCCTCCCACCTGGATGGCTGCTTGGCCTCCTCACCTGCCTTCCTACTGGCTTTCATGGTTCCCCCAGGGTTTTCCTTCAACAATGGAAGTGACTTTCGCAAAATGCATGTCACACATGGACCCCGACTCACTGCTCTTAAAATAGAGTCCAGAATTTTTAATATGCCCATGAGGCTCTTGGTGGTCTGGCTTCCACCTGCCCCATCAGCCTCACACGGCACCCTCTCCTGTCTCTCTTGCCTCCACCACCTTCCTTCTCCAGTGTCTTCCATGCTCCCTCCTGCCCTGAAGCATTGCCCTGTGGCCTCTCTGCCTGGATTCCCCTCCCTTGCCTGCTTCCTGGAGCCACCCTTTATTCCTCCTCCAGCTCCCATCCGATCCAACCTGATCATTCCACCTACTGCACACTCTTCCAGGTTCCCTCCCTCTGTACACATGTCACAGGGGAGATTTTTACACTTCCATATCTTGGACCCTTGCACACAGTAGGCTTTTATATTGGTCAGCCATTGCTGTGTAACAAACCACCCCCCAAAACTGAGTGGCTTCAAGCCACAATCACTGATTCCCTCTGACATTTTTGCAGAGTGGCTGGTCCCTCTGGGCTTGACTGGGTGCCTCTGCTTTGAGCTTCTGGGCTGCCTGGCTTGGCTCCCAGATCTGCTCTGATGTTCATCCTGAGGCTCAGGCTGAAGGGGCAGCAGAAGGCCCTGGAAAGTTCTTCTCCCGGCAATGGCAGCAGTGCAAAGAAGGAAAGCGCCATAGTGCAGGGCATTTCAATCCCCACTTGAGTCATGTCTGCTTCCTTCCCATCAGCCAAAACTAGTCCCATGGCAGAGCTGCAGGTCATGGGGTGGGGAAGGGTGCTTCTGGGTGGAATGATGGGCAGCAAATACTTACTAAACAACTTATTGTCCTGCAGTCCTCAGTCAATATTTTTTGACTATATATATTTGCTTGAGCAAGCTGAATCATTGGAAATGAAGGGATGAAGAATTCCAGGAGGTTCTGGATGCTGTGTGTGTCTGACGTGCCCTGGGCCTCAGTGCCGGCCTTCAGGCAAACGTCTCCCTGAGACCCCTGAAAGGTCAGTGATAAGCTCCCACGGAGAACATAAAGGCAGCTGTCCACCTCCACCACAGGCCAAGAGAGGCAGGCCCTGACCGTGGTCACCGAGGGGAACCCCAGGGAGGAATCTCTCCTCACCGACCTCACAGCTCCTGTGTCTCTCACTGCTCACGGGGACAGCACTCCTGCCAGCCTGCAGCCCAGCAGTGACCTGCTGTCCCTTCCCTCTTGTTCTAGAAATTACCTCACAGACCCCCCTCCCCAGAGACAGGCAGTAGCCGACCCACACTCTCCTTTTTCACCTGGAACATTAGCTGGGCAGCTGTAACTCAGAGATCCCTCCAGGTCAGCACTGGGGAGAGGGCAGATCTTGAACACCACGATGGCTGGCTGGGGAAACTGAGGCACACAGGCATGAGTAACTTGCTCCAGGTCTCAGAATGAGCTGGTGCAAAAGCCAGAAATTATCCTCAGTGCTTTGGATTTAAATTCCAAATCTGGAAGCAGAAATATTTGTGCAGCCTCTCTGTACCACGGACCCACAGGCACCTCAGAACCCACTTTGGGGAGACCCCTTCCTTCCTCCAGAGTGAGCCCCAAGCTCAGCCCCCACACCCCTATTAAATTATTGTTATATTATTATGTGTGTCGTATAGGTAGCCCCCAGAAAGGCAGGGTGGTGCACGGACTCAGGACCCAGTGGCCACGGTTGAATCCCAGACTGACCGTGACTTTAGGTGTCACCTGGCCTCTGCATCAGGCTCCCCGTCTGTGAACAGGGATCCCCAGGAGTGCTGTGCAGACCCTGCCCTCACCCTTCCTATGGTGGGTCCCCAGCATCACTGTCACTCCCTGCAACCTGCTCTGCTGGCCTTACCTGACAGTGACCCTGTGCTCCTGACCTGTGTGTGGGCTTCCCACTTGCTGCTGAGGCTGGGCAGAGTGTGGGGCAGCCCAAGGGTGTGGGTGGTCAATGCCCACAGGGCAAACCTTTGACCAAAGGCCTATGGGAGCCAAAGGAGAAATTCCTGTTCCTCAGCTGCAGTTCCGGGGGCTCCCCTGAGAACAGCCCTGGAAGGCTGGGCAGCCGGCAGCAAGGCCAGCCTGGCAGTGCTCCCGCACAGTGGCTCTCTCCTCCTCCTTTCCTCGGCTTCTGCAGGGACAAGTTAGTGCTCATGAGGCCCTTGGAGCAGAGCCAGGTGGAGCCTCTACAGGTGGAGGGCCCAGCCTCGCTCCTGTCACTCTCGTTGCAGCAGCGCCTCCACAGAAGGGGGCTCCTGTTGGAGCAGGGCCGGCCCGATGTGCAGGTACCAGTCTTCCCCCCCAAATTTCACTAACATGAGCCTTTTCAAGTATGAACGCTTGAAGACAAAGAGGATGGGAGGGAAGATAGCTGTGAAGGTGTCAGCAGAACGTCACAGAACGTGCAGAGCGAGGCAGTGGCTGTGGGGGAACGCCAGGAAGCCAGTGGCCGCCTGTTGGCGCCTGGGCAGTTCAGGAGGGGGGCATATACAGTCCCTCGAAAGCTGGGCAGACGGGAGAACTGGCTGGACATGCACATGAGGAAGTTGAATCCACAGATCCAATGACCAGGAGGAGCCCACCCTGGGGGAGCTGGGAGACCAGCCCAGAGGGGATCTGGGCTCAAGACACCAGGCCAGGGGAGCACCTGCACAAGGGAGGGGATAAAGCCTGAGTCTGCAGGCTGAACCGGCTCCCCCACTGCTGTCCCTTCCCCGGGTCCCAGGGCTCGGGCAGTCAAACGTTCTCCCCACAGACGTGAGACTAGAGGAATCTCTTCTTGGGAAACTGATCTTTCCAAGAGCAAAGTTGTACAGATCTTCACACTGGCCTCCAGGCCAATCAAGTGCAGGCCCCACATACACGCTGGTTTCTAATCAGCAATTTCCGCCTCACTTTCGAATGTGAATGGATAGCCAAGGAGGGCTGCCCAGTCTAGAGGGAAAGGTGGCGCATGCTAACACTCAGCCCCAAAGCTCGGGAGCTTCACATGACATGTTTCTTTCTTGGTCACAGACTGGTAGAGCCTCCACCAGCTTCTGGGTTGCTGAAATGACTCTGTGCCTTTATGAATGACTTTTGTTTGTTTGTTTTTCAATGATCTGAAGCTTACAGAGAAGTTGTAAGAACAACGTAAATAATTTTCTCTTCTGGATCCACTTGAGAGTTCTGACAATGCTGCCCCATCAACCCCCAGAACCACGCCATTCCCCTGCCTGACCACAGCACGTCCAACCAAGGCAGGAAATCCACTTTGGTACAAACCACCATCGAATCCCCTGGCCCCACTGAAGTTCTGCCACTTGTCCAAATAATAACCCTAGCGAAAAGCCCACTGCGGAATCACGCAGCCCAGTGAGTCGCTGTGTCCCGTTGGCCTCCCTCCGTCTGGAACATTTCCTCCACCTTTCCTTGATTTTCATGACCTTGTCCCTTTTAAGGACTACAGGCCAGGGTTCTGTGGGTGTCCCTCAATCTGCGTGTGCCTGATGTTTCCTCACAACTAGGTCCTGGCTGTGCTTCTCTGACAAGAAGATCACAGAAGCGATGCTGGGTTCTTGTTGCCACCCATCAGAGGGCACTTGGCTTTCTGATGTGTCCCATCACCGGTGACATTCATATTGATCGCTTAATTAACGTGGTGTGTGCCAGACTTTTCTGTTGTAAAGTTACTCTTTTCCCCTTTGTAATTATTAAATATGTTGTAGGTAGGTCCTTTGAGACTATTCCCTTCTATTCAAACTTTCATTTTCTTTATTTGTTTCTATTAGTATGGACTCATGGACTCCCATTTCAGAGGATTATAATCCACTACTATCCGGGTTTATTTTAATGCTCAGATTGTGCTCAGTGGGACTCCCTTCAGAAGCTGACTTCTCCTGTGTCCTTTTGATATGTCTCCACCATCCTATGAGTATTTCTTCTCCTGCTGGGCAAAATGGTCCAGGCTCACTTTATACTTTCCCTGGACTCAGCATTCTCTACAAGGAGCTATGGTTCCTTCTACAGGAGAGGAGTTTAGAACCCAGGTCCAGGTGTTCATTCTCACTGGCCCTTGCCCATGCTGGACCCTTGCTCAAGAAGCAACCATGCTGTGTTGGAGGCCAGAAGCTTCCAGAAGGGGAATCCGTGGATGTCTTAACCTGATGTGTTAAGAGGAGAGTCACAGTTTTCTCAGAGATTTGGAGGGAAGAATTAGCAATAGGAAATAAAAACACAAAGCAATAATTAACTGCAAGAAAAACAAAACAAAAAAATATACCAGAAAGGAAATATATACCACATGGTTCAACTGTGAACAATACTTAGATAATCATAATAATGGACATGTTTAATGGACACTGTGATATAACCCCATTAGGAAGTTCAAAGAAGAGTGTGGATTCTCATCTCTCACCGATGGAAGATGACAATAATAGTAGCCATGTGTGGGCAAAATTGTAATATTTCCAGAATATCTTGCCTGGCTTTAGTGCATTGGCATATCAACAGGCGTTCCTCAGGGGTGGAGGGTAGTAGTCCATCTCCATATCAATCAATGGCGCCCCAGGGCTTATGGGAACCTGAGCGGTTAGAGGGAGGGTGGGTTTGCTTCTGCCAGAGCAGGAAAGAGAGACAGCCCCAGACTGCAGTTTGTAAGCAATAAACAGATTTTAAACTTTATTTCTCCCTTTAACTGATTTCGGTTTTAGAGGTATTTTGCCCAGGGACTTCCTCTCCCTGGAGTTACACCATGGTCAGCACTCATTGAGAGCTTTTATGTGCAGGCCCAAAGTACACGTGTCAATCCGTTTACGACTCATCTGAGCCACATGGGAAAGATAAGGAAACTGAGGCATGGATGAGGTAAATAACTTATTCAGGGTGGCACCATTGTAAGTGGCAGAGCATGGATTTGAATCCAGGTAATCTGGCTCAAGACTCAGCTTTACATTATTCAAGGTAGCTTCTAGATTTTAGACATTTAGGTAATCTCAAAAATGAAAAAATCATGAAACAATAGTATAAGCAGGGTATTGAGAAACATGGCGGTAAATATCTGAAACAACAGCTACAAAGAATTACAAGTAGCCACCTCCTGGGTGTAGCAATTAGGTGTGGGAGGGGTGGGGCAGGAAATTGCTGGGGTGTTTTGTTTTACTTGTAGCACTCTGGTATTTTAAAAACCATTTGCATGCATTATTTTGATTATAATACAAATCAACTGGAGAAAAGGGGCTTCAAAGAGTCCAGAAGGGATCCTCACTCTCCCCGCAAGAGGCAGCCCTCTGGCCGGCTTCCTGCCTGCGCAGACCTGTCTGTGCTTGTGACCAGCGTGCTCGGCGATCTACCTCTAATTTGTCTACCCTTAACAACCTGTCTCGGAGGTGGCTCCCAACAGGGCACAAGGGTCCCTCTCTAGTGTTCCACTGGGTGGTGGTGGCTGGGAACCAAGCCAGGACACCTATGTGCAGGGGCCCCAGGAGAGCTCTTACTCACGTGCCTGAGGACCCCAGTGAAGCCACACCATGGGAGCAGAGCTGTCAGGCCCAGTGGCCTCTTGTCCCAGGCAGAGCTCAGACCCAGAGAGAACACCTGCCGCGGTCACTGGCCACAGCTGACGCAGGCCCATGGAGGACCTAGGGGAAGGCAAGGTCAGTGAGCCAGGTGGTCCTGGACCTCAGAGCCTCCCTACCCACTTCTCTTTTCACGGGTCGTCTGGCTGCCCTTGACCTATGATTTCTAGGTGCCACAGAGAAACCCGGTGCCTTTCTGGATGAACGGTGCCCTGGGACATGGGGTCAGCCCCTCCCACCGTGCCCCAGGGGCCCCTCGGGAGCAGGCAGCCCTCTCCCTGTCCACCTCCCTGCCCTTCTTTGCTCCATCCTCTACAGCATAGCTGCCCAGGCACTGGGGAAGCTGAGTCCGGGTGAGGTCCCCAGGGTACCCACCCAGAACCCAGGAGGAGGAGGACTGGGGTGGAGCAAGCTGAATTTCCTTTCTATTTAAAGAAAAAACCCAAGTCAATATTTTTAGGTGCCAGCTAAGAAGCTGCTTCCTTTCTGCAGGGTCTGCTGTGTGGCGGGCAGTGCTGCCCCAGCCTGCAGAGCTGGGGAAAGAGAATGAGGACGAGGGGCGGGGGCGGGCGGGAACTCTCTCTGCCTGGCTGGCTCAGGACAGTTGCTGACACCTGGTTTTAAGTGAGGGGTCCGTTTTTTTCCTTACTCAACCCATGGGTTTGCCTGAAGCTCCAGAAGGAACTTTCAGGAAACTGGTGGCAATTTGAACCCAGGCTTCTTCTAGCCTCTGGATTTCATTCCGATACCAGACCACCCAGGCGGCTGGCACTTACCAAGAAGGGGCTGAGCTTTGTCTGGAAGCCGCATCTGGGAGACACTCCACAGCAGATGCCTAAAGCCAGGGCCACCTGCAGGGTCTCTAACCTGTGTTTCTCTGTGCCCGGCAGGGCCAGCTGTGAGAAGGTGCTCAAGGCGATCCCGCAGCGCGTGTGTGGAGGGGTCACCTCTGTTTCCCAGGGCCGCTGGGAAGGACACGAGCCCTCAGCAAAGGCCCAGAGAGGAGCTCTGCCGCCCCCTGAAGGCGTTTTGGATTCTGGGACTCCGGCTGGGGAGGTGGGGCGAGTGGTTGTGCCGAGGCCTGGGGTCATGCGCGAAGCAAGCGCAGAGGAAAGGGTGATCGGCCACCACCCAGATGGGGCTGTGGGGCAGAACGGCCTGCTGGGAACGCTGCCCCCACACCCGACTGGAAGCTCTCTGAGAAGGCGCCGAACTTTCAGAGGGTTTCGGGTCCCCAAGCAGGAGCAGACAGTCCCAGACCCTGGGAGTCTTTGGGGTTTCTGCCCACCAGAGCAACCAGAACCTGAGGCTGACAGATTCACTGCCCTCAGCTCACAGAGAAAGAGACCAAGGCTGAGGCCCAGGGGCGGCAGGGCCCGGCCCCACATCCCGCAGCAGGGCTGTCTTCTTGTTGGCCCCCAGCCGAGAAACCCTTCACGGGAAGCCCTGCGACGCCCCCGGGCTGGATAGGGGCCCCCAGCCAGCCTGCAAGCAATAGCCTGGGTCCTTGTCTCTTTCAAAACCACACCAGACTGTGACCCAGGGCAAGGTGCCCTTCTGTCCTGTGCCCGGTTTATCCCAACACCAAGCCCAGTGCCTGGCACACAGTAGGTGCTCAGAACGTACTTTGGGGTGATGTGAAGTCAGTTGGCAGCATTTACCGAATACCTGACTTGGGCCGCCAGGAGCCTGCTGTTCCCTGCCCTGAGTTCTCTCTGGACGCCGGCAGCCCTGGAGGACAGTCTCGGGCAGGGTGTTCGACTCTCTTACTAGCCCACCGTTTCCTGAGTGCAGGGCCACACCTGGGCCATGCTTGTGTAAGACAAACCCCCGGCACATGGGGGACCTGCAGCTGCAGGGGAACAGGCTTGATGGGTGGACAATGTCCCGGCTTCCGCTGTGGCCCCCTCCCCTGGCTGCCGAGGGGTACTGTGGCCATTCATGGCGAGTGCCAGGCTGCAACCTGGCTCTGTGCCTCCATTCAGGAAAGCAAGGGTTATTATCCTGGTTAACAGAGGGGGAAACCAAGCTCACTGTGGCAAAGTCAGCCCCTCCCCCCTCAGCTGAACTGCAGGGCTGAGATTTGAACCCAGATGTTTCTGAGCCCCCCTCTGAATTTCACACATGCTGCCTCCTCCCAGGTGGCCTGGAGAGGCCAAAGACAGTAGGGACCCTGTGTCCTTGCCCCCGACGTCCTACCAAGGGGACAGAAAATGTGCTGGAGGCTAAGTCCAGCATCCCTGGCTGTTTGCACAGGCCTTGGGATGAAAGGAAATCGCTCTTGGCAGGAGCCCCTCTGTGAGGGAGGCGGGGGCACAAGCAGGGGTGGAGTGGGCCTCGCTGAGTTGCAAATGCTGGCCTCTGCCTCTGATACAAAACACATGGCGACACAACCTGACAACTGCTACTGATTCAGCTGTTGACCGTTGACTCAGTCAACAAGCACTTACCGGATGCAGACCGCATACCAGGCAGTGGGGCCATAGAGGCAAGTGCTGGCCCTCACCCGGCAACAGGAGGCGTGCCGACTGACAGATCACAGCTTGGTCGACAGAGGGACTCTGCCTGCCTTGTTTGCAGCTGTGTCCCCTGCGCCAGCTGCAGGGCCCGGCGCTCACAGTTGTCTGTGAAACAAGTGAATGAATGAATGAATGAATAAGTCCTGGCATGGGGAGCTGGTCTGGTGGGTCAGCTGACCCTGTTTGTTGAGCCCTCACCCCGCAGCCAGACCTGGCCCCTCCCTGGGTAGAAGCCCCCTGAAGCCTGCCCTCCACCCATGCCGTGATGCTCAAACTTTGCCCCCAGGCCTGACCCACCTCAAGTAAGAAGTATTTGAAATCTTGTGTTTTATGTTAGAAATGCATGGAATTTTACTTTCTGCTCCTGGTTTCTTTTAGCATAAAAACAATATTTTCCTTCAACTCCTGGAGCAGAGGTTTTGTTCTAGGAGAGGGTGCTTCATTGTCTTATAGCTTCAAGTCCCCCCAACTCTGGGTCAAGCCCATTTGAAAAGCTGGGACTGACCTGGAATAACATCAACGATCCTTGGCTCATCCTCAAGACCTCAGGGTCCGGCCTCTGTCGCTTCTGCCACCCGAGTCTGTCACCTGGCCCATCCTCTCCAGCAACATGGGACAGTGTGGCCCCTGCTCTCCCTTCCTGGCCAATGTCTACTCATTCTTCAAGACTTGCTCAGCACCTCCTCCTCCAGGAAACCCTTTGTACCCCCAGGTGGGGCTCAGGGCTCTGCTAGTGTCCTCCTTAAGGCAGTTTTAAAATGAAGCTTCATATCTCCCCACATGGTATCTTGGACTCTTTTGTTGTGAATAACAAAAATCCAATTCAAATTAGTTTATGTTGGAAAAAAAAATGAGACTGAGTAGTTCACAAAACTGGGGAAGGCATGGGTGGAGCGAGGTTCAGGGATGACAGGGATGGTTGGAACCCTCTGTGCCCAGGACAGGAGGCCTGGCTGGGCTGCCTCCTCCTAGGCAAAAACACAGCAGCGCTGAGTCACAGGAGAGGCACTCTTCTTCCGCTAGCTCCAGGTAGGAAACTTCCAGGGAAGGTGTATCACCCTGGCCCAGCCCTATGGCGCACGCCAACTGGGATCATTTGAGAGAGATGCAAAAGGAGCTCTTTCTGGAGGTCTGGGGTCCTTGTGGAAACCCAGGGGTAGTGCCGCCCTAGGCAGCCGGCAGGGTCCGGGAGGGGACAAGCGCTGGAACCCCAGGGAGGGACACACAGGGAGCTCAGGCTGCATAGCACTTCCTTCAAGGATGCAGCCAGCCCAGGTGATGCTTCTCAGCCAGGGTAATAAGGGACCCACGTCACTTCCCCGACTGGAGCCTGGCGGGGCAGCAGGAGATGCAGCCATGCAGCCCACCCAGCCTCCTGGGGCTCAGATGGGGGCAGGAGGGCAGGATGCAGGTTTTGCAAATGGGAGCCAGCCTCCTGGGTCACCCTCTGCTGGACTTCTCTGTGGCGGAGAGGGGGCCTTATGGGCCCCACCTCGGCCATCAGCCTCCTTAAGGTGCTGTAACCAGAGGGAGGAGGGGGCAGCCGGGAAGGTCAAGGCCACAGTAGGGACACCCCCTCAGCACACCCTTAGCCCTGTGATGGTCTCCTCTCTCTAGGGTTCAACACAGATAAATAAATGTTGAACTGGATGTATGTGTCCATTGCAAAGCCCAGTGCATGAGGGCTCGCCTGGGTGCAGGTGAGCTCAGTTGGCTCCTGGGCAGTGAGCTGTCTGGGTCCTGCCCTGGGGCCTGCCTCTAAAGGCTGCTCTGGGCTTCACAAGGGCAGGAGGACACCCTCTGGGCCCCTCCTGCACCGCACTTGCCCACACACTCAAGTGCCTTTCTCTAGTTAATGGCAGGAGTCCTAGGGAGTCCTGAAGATCGGGCTGTGGGACAAGGCCCCGAGGGTCGCTCTGCTGGACTGCGCTGAGCCTGCTTAGGGACACTCCGGAGTGGATTCTGGGGTCTAGAGAGGGGAGGGCAGGGCAGCCCGGAGACTGCTGAAGGGCAGGGGGAACACTGAGGGGCTGCAGCAAAGGAGCCTCTTTTTAAGGGAAAACCGAGCCTCTTTGTGAGTTGGTGGAGCGTCCTTTCTCAGGAAACTCTCCAGCAGGGGCAGACCCAGGTGGGGGCAGAGGGCCTGGCTGTGACACGCACAGACAGAGCAGATGCAGCCCTCAGAGGGGAGGCTGCAGCTGGACCCTGGCCTACAGCTGCCTCTGTGTTACCTGACGTCCAGCCCAGGGGTCTTCCTGCCTCTGGTGACCACCAGGCAGCCACTCATGGTGAGTCTACTGTCAAGAGATGGGCAGTTGCAACCTCCATCATCCCTGGTCCTCTCCACTGCATCTTTGGGTTTTGTAAAAATCCCCCTATGGCCGTACATTAAGTCATAATACTTGCAAGGAACAAACCCATAGCTCAGAATGGAGAGGCAGTGGTGGCCTTGGGATTTCTGGGGCATTAGAAGTAACCTCAGCAGTCTGCACTGGGGAGCCAGGTCCAGCACTGCGACCCACGCTTATGTTTGCAAGCACAAGGACACCTGCTGGACGTCCCCTCGAGTGTCATGCTTCTGAACTTCGCTTTCAATCCTGGTGGGCGTCGGAGCAGACTGCCGGCAGAACTGTGGTGGTAAACACGACCCTGGGTTTGGGATTCTCAGGGGACAGCTTGCTACTGAAACAACATTCTGATTAGCAAAGCTTTTGGGTGGATGTTCCCTTCTCCCGAACATGGAATAACAACTGCTTGGATTGGATTGTTATTTCTATTAACTCTACTGTCTAGGTCTAGTTAGGCAGTCTAAGGAGGCGCTGAGGGAGGCGTCTGAAGTCCTCTAACATGTGTCAGCCTGTGGGGGGCACCCGTGTGAGTCCCGGGTCAGCACCTTCTCCTTCTGGGAGCCACCCACCATGTGGGCACAGCACCCCCATTCCCATCCCCATCCAGTGTGATCTGTTCAGGGACTGCGGCCCGAGTCCCCACGAGGAGCGGCTGTGCGGCAGGACTCTGACTAGCAGAGGGAGCCGGGTTCTTTCCTGGAAGCTGCACTAGAACACTTGACAAAGACCACAAAAACCTCAGCTGTTTATACTCAAGAAATGGGGGTGGGCGAGGTGGATGGGCGAAGGGAGAGGGTCCTCACCCTAACCCTAACCCAGCCCCTCCCCAGGTGTCCCAGGCAGAGCCATTAGCCCAGTGCCCTCTCTTCCTCTGCATCTTGGGCCCTGGAGATGCTGTGAGCTGCTGGCAGCCCAGGCCCCTTGCAGGGAAGGCTGTCTGCATGAGGCAAGAAATGAGGCCAGCACACACAATAGGGTCTGCAGATGAATCGTAGGATGCCCAGGTAAATGTGAACTTCAAGGAAACCACAAATGTTATGGTGTAAATACATCCCAATGTTGTGCTGGACGGACTTC